ATATGGTCATCTGCTTCTGTTTTGGGGGCATATTCAGGGATTATCTGTGGCCTTAATACTTAGATAGGTATGTATTTTGGTATTTTTTATGCTTTCTGATTGCCTCCAGGTAGATGTGATCAGGAAATGGGCTGCCCCTTTCACTCTTCTTTCTGAGAAATTTCAAGATGCCACTGTTGATCATTTTGACGTAGGATTTAATTTTTGGCTTACTTCCTTTTTTGTCTGCTTGTCCCACTCCACAAGCCCCGTTCAGGCCTTTTTTCTAGTTGTAAACGGTTCAGGGCTGGCTGTGGCCATTTGGTTTTAATTGGAAACTGTCTCTTTAAATTTCGAGGAGATCTGTGTGCATGTGTAGTAGAACCCTCCGAGGGTGGGGCTGGGATGTCCACTAGCTCAGGCATCTCTATAGTCACCAAAATGGATGTGTGAAGACAGCAAGGGACCAATGAACAGCTACCAAAAGAAAAGAATGTCCACACCTTTATCTTTGTGGTTCTGCCAGGCATCTGTGGCCGCTCCGATCCTTCCCCTGCTTGGTCTCACCCAAGATGGTGGCTCCTGGAGTAGCTGAGCATCCCGGACTAGAAAGCAATGGATTTCTTGCTTCTGCCACAAATTCCCCCAGCTGTAAGCCTTCCAACCTTCTAAATATTCCTTTATATGTGGTTCAGAATTCTGGGACCATCCCCTGAGCCTGCTTGGTCCTGTATTCTGTGTTGTCACTGGTGGAGCTCTTTACTGCACGTCCATTTGATCTGCCATCTTGTTTGTTCTCTCTGTGGAGTTGATTCTGACTCAAAGCGACCCTATAGGACAGAGTAGAACCCCACCACTGGGTTTTGGAGACTAAATCTTTATGCAAGCAAATTGCCTTATCTTTCTCCCACAGGGGTTTGAACTGATAACCTTTTTTTAGTTAGCAGTCCTATGCTTAGCCCACTGCATCACTAAGGCTCCTTTGGATAATGTCGTTAAGTGTCATCAAGTCAACTCCGACTCATAGCAACCGTTTTATAGAGTTTTTAAGGAGCAGCTGGTGGGTTTGAACTGCTGACTTTGTGGTTCGCTGCCCAGTGCTTATCCTGTAGCACCACACTAGGAGTCCCTTTTGGATAATGTTAAGTGCCTTTGAGTTGATTCTGACTCATAACGATACCATATAGGGTTTCCGAAGAGCAGCTAATGGGTTTGAATAGCCAACCTTGTGGTTAGCAGTACAGTGCGTGTTGTTGTTGTTAAGTGCTGGCGAGTCGATTCCAACCCATAGTGACCCTGTATAGGGTTTCCAATAAGCACTTCAAAAACATGTCAGACCACCAAAGACTTCCAAACTACTGTGGATTGCTTCACTCCGAGCTTTTTTCTCTTAACGTGCTGTTGCTGCTGCATGCTGTTAAGTGGGTTTTGAATCATAGGGACCCTGTATATGGTTTCCAGGCTATAAATCTTTACAGGAGCAGAAAGCCTCATCTTTCTCCCACTAAGCAGCTGGTAGATTTGAACTGCTGACCTTGTGGTTAGCTGCCCAACTTGTAATGCATTACACTACTAGAGCTCCTTCTCTTTATGTAAGAGAGAAGTAAATGTCCATCTAGTAAAGGCATTACTTTTGTGTTTCTGACACTAACAATCTAACCATAGTTGTTACCAAATTCTACTGAACTATGGAAAAGCACATCACCTCTTTACCCTACCTCCTGATCAGCTTAACACCAGCCTATTTCATAGTAATAGACATTCTTCCCTTTTTTAAAAATTTACTCAATTTTTAAAAAATTAATCTTTTCTATGACCTTCAGATATTTATGTGGAAAAGAGGACATGTATAAATACATGAAAATAAATTTTAAAATGCATCCAAAAAACTGGGAGAACATATCCAAAAGTAAGCTTTTGATTCACCCCACACACATTAAAAAATAATAATAATGCTGCCCTCACCCCCAAGTCTTCTCATGCAAAATGACAGATTTTTTTTTTCTCCCCTTGATGTATTCATTGCTGTGGAGTCTTGGTGTGGTGCTCAAATAATGCACTGGACCGCAAACTTGGTTTGAACTTCAAGGTAAGTAGTTCAAACCTACCAGCTGCTCCTCACAAACCCTATACTATGAGTTGGAACCGACTCAATGGCACTCAAAAACAACACCAAACCATTTCTGTATCCCCAGCACCTAGAATAATATCCAGCATGTTGGTAATATTCAATAAATATGAAGGGGCTTCAAAAAAATTCATGGGAAAAAAATGAATTAAAAGATAACAGAGGAAAAAAAAGATAATGGTATCTTTCTACAAACTTTTTGAAGCCGCCTCATATTTGTTAAATCACTGACTGAATCAAGGTTGATTTGGAGGCTTTCATGCACAGACATGGGGGCACAAGCCTCCCCTACTCAGCCAGCCTTTTTCAAATGAACTCATGCACACAGCCATCACATACATACGTTGGGAGCAGTCGGGGCCTGTCCAGCCAGCCAGACAGTAGCAGGTCCCATCCGAGGGGTGGCAGGAAGAATGGTTGGCACACTTGCAGGGAACACAGCGTTTGCCATAGCGGCCAGGCTGACAGGCTAAGGGAAGGGAACATGTTGTAACTAGGAGTAACTAGATACAAGGACCAGCCCTCCATCAGTCCTTTACTGGCTCCCTCCCTCCCTCCCTCCCTCCCTCCATCCTTCTTGCAGCAATAACTAGCCTGAAGATAGGGGCCAGGGGAAGAGAACAAGAGGCGTAGAGCAGGGGCTTTTAGCACAGATTCAACATCCTACTACTGGCAGGTGGGAGGAGAGGGTGGGGAGCCTCACGTCTCTGGCAGGAGGGACCTCGGAAGCCGGGTGCACACACACAGTTGCCACTGGCAGGGTTGCAGGTGCCCCCATTCTTGCAGGTGCAGGTGTGGCTGCAGTTGGTTCCCCAGAAGCCCTCGGGGCAAGGCAGGTTGCAACGGATGCCTATGGGAGAGCATGGTAAGGGGAGGCCAACCTGGGTTCCTTCCTGTTCCATGAGTGTTCCTCTGGACAGAGTTTCCATGGATTGCATCCGCCCCCCAACTCTGAATCACACTTGGAACCTGGACACCCAGAGTGCTTACCCGTCCAGCCGGCCTGGCACTGACATTGTCCATCAACAGGATTGCAGCTGTCAGCATGGTCGCAGTCACAGCTACTGGCACAGCCGTCACCAAACTGTCCCTTCTTGAAAGGGGGGTGTAGGGGGAGGACAGGCCAGTCAGCTGGGGGCTTTAGAGCTCCCTCCCCTCCCTCAGCCAGACAGGCAGGATAGCCAGCACTCACTGGGCAGGGCAGCTGGCAGCGGACCCCGTGCCACCCAGGAGTGCAGGTACAGGTTCCAGTTTGGGGGCTACAAGTTGCTCCATGAGCACACTGGCAGCTGGCATTGCAACCGAAGCCCCAAGTTCCAGGGGGACAGGGCACAGAGCAGTTACCACGCTGCCAACCTAAAGAAGGGACCTTGTGGGTAGGCATGGGAAGCCAGCCCCATCTTGAGCAAGCATACATTGGGTGCTGGCTATGCCAGACTCTGCAATGAGCTGTGATTAGGGTGCTCATGTGATTAGGGTGCTCATGGTCCCATACCAGAGACATAGAGACCAATAAGTACTGAACAAGGGACTAAATTACCTCAGGTGATGTGCTATGCACTCTTGATTTCTGTGCTTACAGAAGCACCAAAAGAGAACTAAATTATTCAGACAATCGTGAATGGTGAGGACTGGAGGCTGGAAATTTGTTAAATTTACTAGAGAGTTGACCAAACAAACCATCTACAGCAGAATTCAGCCTAAAGGTTGTCAGTGTGCTACCCCTGGTAAATCTCCCAGGACCTGCCTGGCACTGCCACTGTGTGGGTCTGTATGATGGGTGGTCTGAGGACAGTTTACCAATAAGATACCTTCTGGCTAGGTCTATAAGATTTTTGTGATTGAAGAAAAAAACCAAAGTGGATATTCCAGGAAAGAAGTAGTAATCTAGTCCCACTACCCTGCTCCCACCTAGTGACTGTGCCCTTTCACGGTAGCATCTTCCCTGTCCATGGCCAGCCTCTACCCTGGGGCCCTCCCTTTACTCTGTAGCCCCTCTCTCCAGAGCCCAACGCCCATTACCTTCTTTGCAGATGCATGTGCCGTCGATGGGCGAGCAGGCGATGGCATTTTCACAGGAGCAGCGTTCGGAGCAGTTGACCCCAAAAGTGTCAGGGGGACAGAAGCTAGCGCAGTGCTGGCCCTAGAAAGTGGGTGGGCAGAAGGGTGAGAGGGTAAAGACTGATCCCTCACCTCCTCCCAGCTTCCTCGCTGCGGGGTGCGCCTCACCGTGTATCCGGGCGCACACCGGCAGAGGCCGCTGTCCGCCTGGCAGACGCCGCCATGCAAGCAAAGGCAGTGCTCCTGGCAGCCTGGTCCGTGTGTGTCCTGCGGGCAGCTCTCATTGCAGTAAAGACCAGCCCAGCCCGGCAGGCACGAGCACTCCCCGTTCATCGGGTGGCAGCTGCAGGGAGGAGCGTGGAGCCGTCTAAACACTAAGTCTCAGGCCCGCCTTCCCGACCCCTCCGCGTGGTGGGAGCAGAGAGGCCTCAGGAGCTATCCCAGAAGCGGGGATGGAATGATCGTGGCGACACCCGATTCCCCCCACTCTCGCCAATAACATCTGCCCCTCCCTGGGATATACCCCTGGCGCTTTTCGTGACGCTGGGAGCAAAGACTTCTCACGTTGGCCTCCTGATCCCTGAACTACAGTGTCCCGCGGCCCACCTGACGCTGTGCTCCGGGTCGCAGGCGCAGGGTAGCTGGCAGCTGAAGCCATAAAAGCCATCTGAACAGAGGCGTTCGGAGCAGCGGTCGCCAGTGAAACCGTGTTCGCACAGACACGCGCCGTTGGCAGGGAAGCAGCGGGCGCCTGCAGCGCAGTCACACGTCTCTGCACAGTCCTGTCCGAAGCGGCCCACAGGGCACTCCTCTCGGCACCTGAGCACCCGTGACTTGTGAGCCTGGCCGCACCACTACCTCCTCCTGACCGGCACTCCGCCCTCCTGCCTGCCCTACCTCCACTCACCGGTCCCCAGTGTAACCTGGAGCGCAGTGGCACTGCCCAGTGAATCGGTTGCAGAGGCCGCTGTTGTGGCAGCGACATTCTAAGGAGCAGTTGGGTCCGTGGAAACCCTCTGGACAGGGCAGAGAACAAATAGTACCCTGGAGGGGTGATAAGTTGATAAAGACTCAGATGCACAGTACCCTCCCCATACCCCAGGATCCCTTGACACCCCCACCCACATAGAACACCCTCTTACATACATTCTTCTCAGAGCCCTGTTGAGAACCACCCACAGAATTCTCCCCAGACTTCCACCCTACCCTTCATACCATCCAGCCAGGTGGGCAGCTGCAGGAGTTCTGGGAGTCCTGGCAGACACCCCCATTGTGGCAAGGGCAGGTGCTGGGGCAGAAGCCAGCAGTACCATAGAAACAGGGCCTCTCACAGCTACAGGGCAGAGTGGGGGAAGTCAGTGTACAGACAGTACTACATACCTCCCTCCTTTCCTCTAGGAGGAAGACCTGACCCAAGTCTCAGTGACTCACCCCTGCTCTGGGAGTCCCAACCCTCTGCCCTGTTGGTGACTGCAGGAATCAGAAAGGAATGTTTCTAGGCCCAGAAGTCACAGAAGACACCCCAACATTACCAGGGTGCTGGGAATCAAGGTGGCAGAGAGTCATGGGTGACATGTGTTGCTTCCCTGTGTACCCTACACTCTACCTCCTCCCCTTTGCTCCTGCGGTTCCCTCTCTGGAGGAATATCTCCTGGGAAGGCTCAGCTGAATGGGGCTCCCTTCTCCATGAAGACTTCCTTGATATCCAAGTTCACCTTCTCCCTCTTGTGACTTCCCAGCAGTTCCCTGCACCCTGCATTGCAATAGGATTCTCTGGATCCTTGTCTTACGGTGTTAACACACTGCTATTCCATGTTATCATAGTAACAACTTCAGTTGTTGTTAGGTGCCACGAGTTGGCGTCAGCTCATAGCGACCCTATGCACAACAGAACAAAAAACTGCCCATCCTGCACCATCTTCACAGCCAGTGTGTCAATCTATCTCATTGGGGGGGTCTTCCTCTTTTTCCCTGATCCTCTACTTTATCAAACATGATGTCTTTTCCCAAGGACTGGTCCCTCCTGATAACATGTCCTAAGTGTGTCATTTCACCATCCTGGCTTCTAAGCAGCATTCTGGCTGTACTTCTTTCAAGACAGATTTGTTTGTTCTTCTGGCAGTCCATGGCACTCTCAGTATTCTTACCAACACCATAATGCAAATGTATAATTACTTCTATGGTTTTCCTTATTCATTAACCAATTTGTACATGCTCTTTAACATTTTCAAGGGGTCATTTGCAGCAGATTTGTCCAATGCAATACATTATTTGATTTGACTGCTGCTTCCATGAGCATTTATTACAGATCCAAGTAAAATGAAATCCTTGACAACTTTAATCCTTTCTCAGCTTACCATGATGTTGTTTATTGGTCCAGTTGTGTGGGGTTTTGTTTTCTTTACATTGAGTTGTGATACATAAAGTCTGAAGTCTTTGATCTTCATGAATAAGTGTTCAAGTCCTCTTCTCTTTCAGCAAGCAAGGTTGTATCATCCATACATATATTGCAGGTTGTTAATGTGTCTTCCTCCAGTCCTGATAACTCACTCTTCTTCATATACTCCAGTTTCTCAGATTGTTTGCATAACATCAGATTGAATAAGTATGGTGAAAGGATACAATCCTGACACACATTTTTCTTGATTTTAAACCATGCAATATCTCCTTGTTCTGTTCTAGAATTCTCATTCTTCAAAACATTATTCATAGTTTGCTATGATCCATATAATCAAATGCCTTTGCAGAGTCAACAAAACACAAGTAAACATCTTTCTGGTATTCTCTGCTTTCAGCTAACATCCATCAGATATCAGCAATGATATCCCTCATTACACATCTTCTTCTGAATCAACTTGAATTTCTAGCAGCTTCCTATCCATATGCTGTTATAATTTGTCATTCCCACCATAGTAAGCTATATGATTATCTCATTCAAATTGGCCAATATCTGTCTATTTCAGTTCACTAATGCCTACGATATCTATCTTTAAACATTCTATTTCATTTTTTATGACTTTCAATGTACCTAGATTCATACTTCTTACATTCCATGTTCCAGTTATTAATGACTGTTTGCAGCTATTTCTTCTCAGTATGAGTCTTGCCCCATAGGCAAATGAAGGTCCTGAAGCTTTGCTCCATCTTCATCATTAAGGTGGTCTATACTTTGATGGAGGGAGCTCTTCCCCAGTTGTATTTTGAGTGTCTTCCACTCACAGGGGCTCATCTTCCCATGCTATATCAGACAGTGTTTTGCTGTTATCGATAATGTTAATCAGACAGCATTTTGCTACTATTGATAAGGTTTTCAGGGGTTAATCCCTCAAAGTGGATCACCTATTCCTTCTTTCTAGTCTAGTCTTAGTCTGGAAGCTCCACTGAAATTTGTCCATCATGGGTGACGCTCCTGGGATTTTAAACACCGGCATCACAGCAACATTCAAGCTACCTCAGTAAAACAAACTGAAAGATGTGTGGGGAACAACCCCTCTAGGTAGGCAATAAATCAAAACCAAACCCACTGTTGTTGGTTCTGACTCATGGTAACCCCACGTATTAGAATAGAAGTTCCCCATAAGTTCCCTCAAGTGTAATCTTTTTCTTTTTTTCCTTCAACTCTTTATTGTGAATTGAGTGAAGGTTTACAGACACAATCATCAGCTTCACAGTCAACAAATCATAAAATTTTTTTCCATCTCAGTGACTACATTCAACCTCTATGTAACAACAATTATCCTTCTTCCTCCCAATAATTACTATTTCCATTCCACCCACCATTCTATCCTTTCTCAAATTTGTCCTTAGGAAAATGTTGCCCATTTGATTTTGAATGATTACCATTCCATGGTGAACATACCTTACTAGTGTGGTTGTCCCCTCTATAAAACCTATCTACTTACTACTTGGCTGAAAATTGGGCAACAAGGGTGAGTTCCTTTCCAGACCTGAAAGGTGGTTGAGGACATTAGTGTCAGGTTCCTCCAGTCTTTGACCAGTAAACCTGGTCTTGTTAAATAATTTTGAGTTTTGTTCCACATTTTCTCCCACTCGATCCAGGACAGTTGGTAGTAGTAGCTGGGCACCATCTAGTTCTTTTGGTCTTAGAGTCATAGAGACTGATGTTCACATGTTCTATTAGTCCATTGGACTCACTGATTCTAAGCCTCTTCAAGCCTTATCATTCTTCTTTCTTCTGCACATGGAGAGACCAACAGCTGCACCTTTGACCACACTGAGTTTTCAAGATCCCAGACTCTATTCACCCAAGCAGGATGTGGAACATTGTCTTTGTGGACTATGTTATGCTAACTGACCATGGCCCCTGAGATGATGGTCCTGAGCCCCCAAGCCCATAAACTCATTCCTTAGGATGAATGATAATATCTAACAACTTTTCAACATTGTGTTTGCAGAAAAAGTAAATACTCATGTACAAATATCCTCTTTTAAACTTTTATACATTTGTGGGATAAATAAATATATATGTCTCACTCTTCCTCCCTTATCCATTCAGTCTATGTCCCTGGAACCCTATGTTCCAGGGTTGTATATATATATATTTGTTGTTGTTGTTAAGTGCCATCGAGTCGGTTCCGACCCATAGCGACCCTGTACAGGGTTTCCGAGGGTGTAAATCTTTACGGGAGTAGAAAGCCTCATCTTTCTCCCGCGGAGCAGCTGGTAGTTTCGAACCGCTGACCTTAAGGTTCGCAGCCCAATTCGTAACCACTACACTACCAGAGCTCCATATATATATATATATCACTATTTACATTGATCCCCTTTAACCCACACATACCTCCCTGTGTCTTCATCTATCTTCATTCTTCTTCTGCTGCCCTCCCTCTTCTCATATGTTGCCCTCCCTGTCACAGAGTTGACATGTGTACTGGCTGTAATCTTTACGAAAACAGATTGCCTGACCTTTCTTCTATAGCACTGTTAGGTGGGTAATACCACCAACCTTTAGGTTAGTAGTTGAATACAACCATCCTGCTCCCATTTTACAAACTTGAAAGAAGTTAATGGTTTCCTCTAATTCACTCAGCTAAGGAGCTCTGGTAGCGTAGTGGTTACGAATTGGGCTGCAAACCTTAAGGCCAGCAGTTGGAAACTATCAGCTGCTCCACGGGAGAAAGATGAGGCATTCTGCTCCCGTAAAGATTTACAGCCTCGGAAACCCTATACAGGGTCACTATGGGTCGGAACCGACTCAACGGCACTTAACAACAACAACAACAATTCACTCAGCTAATGACTGGCAAAACTGAGAATAGGATCTTGTCCTCTCGACTCTACCCCCACAATAGGGACCCTGTCTGAGATCCCCTCATAACCACATATATGCCTGTGTGTCCTCATGTCTGCAAATCCATTAGTGTTGTCCCTCATCACTCACCTGGGCCCAGTTTTCTCTGAAGGGCAGAAGCAGGCTCCAGTCTGGGGGTCGCAGGGTGCCCCATTGCACTGGCAGCTGAACTGACAGGCAGGGCCATAGTGACCAGGAGGGCAGAACTGAAGGCAGTTGGGAGGCTGCAAGCCAGAGGGACAGGAACACACTCCACTCTTGGGGTCACAGGAACTGTTCTTGCCACAGTTGCAGGGCTTGTCACACCGCTGACCCCACATTCTTGGGACACACGCTGTGGGATACGGAGGGCGGGAGCTGCTGGTCTTAGGGTATAGCCTTTTCCTAGTCTCTGTCCATTCCTTGTCTCTCAACACTCACAAATGGCCTAGGCCTACCCGGCCCCACATTTCCAGAAAAGGCACTGGCTACAATGGGGCTTGGGGGTGGGGGGGTAAATTGTCCCAAGGTCCCAAAGGCCTGAGAGTCCTAAGTCCCTGGGAGTTGCAAGAGACCACACTGTGGGGTCACCAGCCACTTACCGCTGGAGCAGTCATCACCCCGCCAGCCTTCCACACACTGGCACTGATTGGGCGCCACACAGCGGCCATGGACACACTCCTGGGCACACAGCGCTGGGGCAAAGAAAAGATGTTTCCACCCTGCCCGTCACGCCCCCTCATCCTCTGCAGACTAGCCCCATCTCCCTTGCACACTGAGACTCCATGTTCCAAGCAACACTTTAGCCTCCGAAATAAAAAGACTGAGGGGCAGCAACTCTGGGTCAGAACTTGACAAGACCCCACAATTCTGGGCTTCTTAGTCTGTTTTTGTGATATTCTCTAAACACCCTGATGGGGAAATGGGGGCCAATTTCCTTGGGTAGGGGCTAGACACAAGGCTTCCATATAGGAGGTAGGGACCCGCAGGCCAAGAAGGTAGGTCATACGGGGTAGAAGTCTTTGTGGCGGGTAGTGAAGAGCCAGAACTGAGGGGAGGAGGAGAGAGAGGCAGAAATAGGCTCCAATCAGGATTACAGGGCATGTGTTGGCAGTTGGGGGGCTGGGGTGTAGGACAGGGTATACAAGTCAGGAGAGACCAGACAGCAATAAGTCAGAGACAGGTAGCAACACAGAGATGGTCGCAAACATCTAACCTACACAGTGACAGAGAGACACAGAGACAGCCAAATGGAAAGCTCTGGGAAAATGAGAGAGACAGTGATTACTCAGAGACATGGAGAGACAGGGCTGGGAGAGGAGACATGGGTTCAGCTGGAGACAGGCTTGAAGTGGCCACTGAGACAGAAATGCTGACAATAAGGCCAAGTGGTGGTTGGGGTGGGGGCAGTAAAACCCAAAGCAGAGGAGTAGCCTCCCTCATCCTCTTTGTAGCGTGATGAGACTTGAAGGGGCAGGCTAGGCCCCTCCACTTCATGGCCCCATCCCACCCCTTCCCTGGCCCAGCCGTTGCTAATTGATCAGATTATCAGTAGCTAGCAGGGCGAGGAGGGCTGCAGCGCCCTCTGCAGGACTCACGGACACAAGCCCCATTGCTTTCGTAGAAACCCTGGCAGCACTGGAGGCGCTGGCGGTACTTCATCTTCACCACCTGGCGGTACACAGTCCGGTAGATGACCCTAGGGGAGGCCCAGAGTGACCCTCAGGCCTGTCTGTCCTCTCCACAGTGTGGCACTGGGGGACAATGCCAGCACTATGGACTGGAGAAGTGTTCCTTCCTTGTCCATACAGTACCAGACACACCGCAAACACACACATTCACACACAAATCTACATGCACCACACTAGGAATGAGGGCCTTGAGGCCAGAAGGTCCCTCTAAACTCTAAAGGTTCTGAGGAGACGATGGGACATGAAGGGCCAAAGGCCAGATGGAGGTGGCTCCGGCCCATCTGCCTATGGAGGGGGAGGGGAAAAGCACTCACGTAGGCTGGGGGCAGATGTTGGGTCCCTCCCAGGGCCTGTCGCAGGGCTCCGAGGGGAGCAGGCTAAAAGGGCGGGAGTGGGATTCCTTGGTGGTGGTGGTAAAGCTGCAAGACAGGGCACAGGGTCAGAGGTCCCAGACAGGGAGGGAGGCTGAGGCTGGTAAAGGGAGAAACAAAACAAAAAGCAGGAAGGACCACAGTGCCTGGCCACAGTGGGAAGTTACCACCCCAATATGTGGCACTGTGGGTTAATGCTCTGGACTGCAAAGTCATTTTAAACCACAAGGTCAGCAGTTCAAGCGTACTAGCTGCTCCCTGGAAACCCTATACAGGGTCACTATGGGTTGGAACCGACTCGACAGCATTTAACAACAGGATGGACCCCCATCCCACCCCATTTCTCAAGTCTAGAGGGATCCGCCCAGAATTGGAATGTTCCTAGGATACTCCTATCAGGGTCCTGTCCTCAAACTATTTGATTTTCTCTCCTCCCCTCCTCTAGCCCCTCACTATCTGGGAAGATAGTGAACAGCTAGAACAGACTTCTGGGCCTTGCTGATGGAGACATTTCTGGCCAAATTCTGGCCTGGATCTTTTCCTCAATCTTGTCCCTTTGCTCCCCATGGGCCAGCCCCTCTGCTCATGCCACTGAGTGACGCCCACCCTATGTTCTATCCCAGCCAGCCTGCCACAGGGACCAAGGGATGGGGTCAGAGAAAGCACAGGGTTAGAGACAGGGTAGCAAATGAGGCAAAGTCAGAAAAGAGGATGGAGTCAGAAGCAGGCCAGAAAGGGAAGACAGAAGAAACAGAAACAGAGATGAGAGAGGGAGGGAAGAATGAGAAAAACTGACTAAGAGGAACCCTAAGTTGGGAGAACTGAGCAACCCTAAAGTCACAGCAGGAGCCCCCTCTCACCTTTCCCAGAAGCTGCAGGCATTGGGGTCACTGGGGCTGAGACATCCAGCCAGTCTCAGGCCCAGGGCCAGGAGAAGGAGGGGACTCAGAGGTGGTATCATTGCAGCCGGCTTCAACAAAACATGTGCAGAGCGGGCCAGGGCACTGAAGTAGGAAGCTTGTAGGAACGACGGTTGGTAGAGATCTGAGCAGGGGTGTGGATCAGAGAGGCTGGTCAGCTTGTCCTCTTTCCCCATGCGCTCTGTGCTCCAGCTCCCCAGATCTTGTTCCTGCCTTCCAGCCTTTGCTCAAGTTCTTTCCTCTTTCTGTTCGTCACCTGGACACTCTCCTTTCAAGACCTAGCTCAAATGTCTGCCTTGCTCTAACCCTTCTCTGCTTTGCTCTCTGACTCCATTCAAGTCACCACTGTTCTGGTGTCTGGCTGATCCCTGACCACAACCTCCCATGGCAGGGACCCAGGGTCCTTCATCTCTGAATCCTCCACCCTCAGTCCAGGACCCGACCAAGAGATTTGATGCTTGTAGCAAGGTGTGAAACTAGAGCCAATGAGAAATTATGAAGGAGGCCAACTGGGCTCTGTGGGAGGAAGAACAGTGAGAGCAGTTCTGTAATGCATCAGCTGCTGTTCAGGCGGTGAGCTCCTTTCAAGGGATGACTTCAGGTAGTGGTCAAAACACCTGGGAGTGATGCTGTAGGGTTCTTCCAGCTTTATGAGATATGATAATGAGTGGGGTTGGGCCCAGATGAACTTGAAGGAGGGGCCCCTTCCAACTGGTGGTGTGCTGAAGCCGGCTCATGCAGACTCAAGAAAGCCAATTGTGCCCATCTTGCTCCAACTCCATGTTGTTGTTAAGTACCGTTGAGTTGTTTCTGACTTATAGTGACCCTGTACAGGGTTTCCTAAGGAGTGGCTGGTGCATTTGAACCACTAACCTTGTGGTTAGCAGTCCAGTGCTTATCCCACAGCGCCACACCAGGACTCCAAATATCTCAAACTAGCACAACCCCACCCCACCCTGACCCTGCTAAATGCACACACTGTATTAACATTTGCCAGCACACCACTGAATCCAACTGTGGCACTGTCACCAAAGGAGGTCCCCAATCTGGGTCAGAGATTGGAAAGCCACCACCCTCCTGAGACCACCACATCTGTCATTTGGGAATGGACCCCTCACCGTCTCCTCCACCCCTGGCCTCACCTGCCTGTGGGTGAGGACCCCAGATGAGCCATTCATTCCCTCAGTTCCTGGGTTCTGAAGTGACTGAGATCCTTGAGGCCCCATCCCCCTGCTGGTTTCAAATTCTGTGTTTAGTGTTCCTGTAACTTGCCCTGGCTCCCCACTCCAGACCTCCTGAGGCACCCACATCTGCTTGTAATTTTTCTGAGAAGAGGGAAAGGTCGCTGTTGCTGGCCCCTTAACCCTCCTGAGTATCTCTGGAATGCCTGCCTCCTGGCCCCACCCCACACCCCCACCCACACATTCCCAGGGTCCCACAGCCAGGTCTTCAAGTAAGAGATAGACTAATTTAACCCCACAATGGTCCACCCCCATCAGTAATCCCTCCCACAGTCTAATCACCACGCTCCAGTGACTTGGCTGGCTCACCTCTCCTCCCACTCACTGCATCAGTCCTTCAGCCTGCTGGTAAACTTCTACCCACCACCTGATCAGCTCCGGTTACACTGGTCCCAGCTTCCCCAGAGCAAATCTCTAGCTTTAGTTTTCTCTGTGCGTTCTCCCACCCACCTTGGTCCCCAAGGAACTCACCAGGCCTCTAGGGCATCCTGGGGCCTGAGGAACTCAGGTGAGGCAGGGCAGAGTAGAACGGCTGGGGGCCTGTAGAGTGTCCTGGGGAACCCCAGTGCTCAAGATATGGAGCCTGAAAATAGGAAATAGAATCGGACTAGGATGCATATTGAGTCCTAGTGTGGCACTGTGGGATAAAGCACTCAACTGCAAGGTCAGCGGTTCAAACCCACCACCAGCCATTCCTCAGAAACCATATACAGAGTTGCTATGAGTCGGAACCGACCCAATGGCACTTAACAACAACAAAGGATATGTGTGGAGTCCTGGTGTGGTGCTGTAGGATAAGCATAGGACTGCTAACTGCAAGGTCAGCAGTTCAAACCCATCAACTGCCCCTTGGAAACCCTATACGCTGTGAATCTGAACTGACTTGATGACATTTAACAGCAACAATAACAGGATGTGTGTAGGAATCCTGGTAGTGTAGTGCGTTACAAGTTGAACTGCTAACCACAAGGTAAGCAGCTAGAATGTACCAACTGCTCCCCAGGAGAAAGATGAGGCTTTCTGCTCCCATAAAGATTATAGACCCAGAAACCCTAAATAAATGGGATTGATATGAATCGGAACCAACTTGAGGGCACACAACTACCACTACCACTAGGATGTGTGTGGAGTTCTGGTGTGGCACTGTGGGATAAGCACTGGACTGCTAACCTCAGAATCGGTGGTTCAAGCCCCCCAACTGCTCCTTGGAAACCCTGTCCAGAGATGCTATGATTTGGAACAGACTTGACAACAACAACAAAAGATGTGTTGGGGGGTGAGGGGAGCAGCAGGGAGCATGAGTGTGGGCTACAATTGGGGTAGTAGCTTTGTCCTCCCACCCCCACCCCTCCTCAGAGCTCAGAGGGGTGGAACATGAGGCAGGGGCCAGTGCCCCACTCTAAGAGGGCTGGTTGCCTTGACCTACCCTCAGGCAACCCTGGTCTGAGGAGGGAGGCCCAGCTATAGCCTGCCCCAAGACCCTTTGGAAACCAACTTACCCAGAGGAGGTAGGAATGCCCCTCCGGTGCGCTCGCCAATCTGCCCCAGTGTATCCCCATACCATTCTTCCCCCACCTCTTCCAGAGTTGGCTCCTTCGTCTAGGGTTCCAAAACAATCTCCTCCCACCCTTGCCCTGCTCTAACTCCCTTTCCAGACCTAGTGCCCACTCCTGAGCTCTCTCTGTGTGGTCCTCGCTAACCCCCTCCCCACATTTGCCTAGAGGACACTTGGCAGCCAGAGGGGCACAGGCAAGACCTTGAGTCCTCCACACACTTCCCTATTTCCATCCCTCAGTCTTCTCTTCTCACACTTGCAGCTCTGACCCTGGCATGGGCCACCCATCCCAGGGTGAACCACGCAGGGTTCCCAGATCTGTCCCCAAAACTCAAGGCCATGGTGGAGTGGAAAACCAGCACCACGTAGGGTCTGAGTGGAGAAGTAGGGAGGAGAAGCCAAGCAGATCAGGCTGCTAAGCCCGGAGAAGGGCTCCAGTCCTGTGTAACAGCAAGTGCCCCCTCACCTACTCCCACAAACTTCCAGGGGAAATGTCCATCTAGGGGCTTCCCAAAGGACCTGGAAGTGGATGAGGAAGCATAAGAGGGATTGACTCTACCACTGCTCCCCCTCGCCCCCCACCCACACTTTGGCTGGCTGGGAGGTTAGCTGGCTGGAGTGGTCAGTACGTTGTTTTTCCCAAAGGGCCTTGGGGTGGGGCTGGAACAGTGGAGGAGGTGGTCAGCTGGTTACCTTCGGGGCTGGAAGCTAGGATAGGGTCAAGGGAGACCAGTGGGTGGTCAGTAAGGAGCAGGGAAATGAGATGGGGCCCTAGCAGGGATGGAAAGGGTGTGGCCTGTCCACCCCCAGGGAAGACTGGCCAACAGACAGGCTTGTTCCCTCGGGGGCCTTTGTTCCTGCAGGGCTAGACCACCTGAAGCACTGGCTTATCTTTTCCATCCCCTACTGGTATGGTGCTGTGGGTTAATGTGCCAGACTGCAAAGCCATTTGAACTTCAAGGTTGGTGGTTCAAGCTCACCAGCTGCTTCGCAGAAACCCTATACAGGGTCACTATGGGTGGAAACCGACTTCACAGCACTTAACAACAACAACCCCAGTGGCAGTGGCATTGGGAGTCCTGGTGTGGTGCTGTGGGTTAATGTGCTGGACTGCAAGGTTGGTTTGAACCACAAGTTTGATGGTTCAAGCTCACCAGCCACTCCATGGAAACCCTGTACAAGGTTGCTATGGGTCGGAACAGACTCAATGGCACTTACTAACAACAACAGATTATACATATCCTTCAGGGTTTTTAGTCAGAAACTCTTGGCTCCCCAACTCCCTTCTTCCCACTACAGGCTGGATTCTCCCCTTTCTCGTTCAGATGCCCCCTCTCCTTCCCTATTTAACCCCCTTTCTCCACTGAAAGTCTGATTTGAGAGACACAGACACCTTTCCTCACAATAGGAATAATAATGTAGCCATTATATACAAAAAAAAGCTTCAAAAGTTTGTGGGAAAATGGAATTAAAAGATAATAATGGTAAATACTGTTAACTGATGGTTAAAAAAAAAAAAAGGGTGTTTTTTTTTTTTAAACATAATAGAATTTCTCCACGAACTTTTTGAAGCTCCCTTGTGTCATTTACTGAGCTTGAGACAGGAAGAATGTTGAGGAATCTACATGAACCATCTCATTTAAAGTTTACATCAACCCATGTGGTAGAAATTATTCTTCCTCCCACATTGCAGATAAGTAAATAGGCACAGAGAGGGTAAGTAACCTGTCCAAGGACACACAGCTAGTAGTATCAGAACAGAGATCCAAGCCCAGGCTGCTGGCAAGAGCTTCACAGCAGTTTCAGCTTTTCTTGAGCCCAGGCAGGAGTCCCAGGGGCTCTGTATTTCATTAGAATAATCTCAGTTATTGGTGGGGGCCTCCTTGGCAGGAGTCTGGACAGGAGAAGGCAATAGGGGTGGGGACTATCACAAGAACTTGATGGAGGCGTGGGAACGTGGGAACGGGAATGTGTTTACAGTCAGGAATGAGCTGACACTTCTCTCTCCTCCACCTCGAGATACAAAGCAGCAGCTGGGCTCCAGGCCAGGGCCCCATTCCCCAATCCCGCCTCCCTGGCCCCCAGGTCCCCAGCACCCCAGCCCTCTCTACCTCCAAGTCCACACAGAGCCTTCTCTTCTAGTAACCTAGATTTTCCCCTCTATCCTCACTACATCCCAGCCGCTCCTGGGGGGCGGTGGCTGGGGGCGGAAAGCTGGTGGACAAGAGAGGCTCCACTGCTACAA